CCTTGAGGAGATGGCTGATTCTAGGACCTAAAAAAAGAAAAAAAAAAAAATGCCATTGAGTCCATTCCAACTCAAGGCCACCCCATGTATTACAGAGGAGAACTTCATAGGAAGTGGATCTCCGGAACTTTCTTCCGTGGTGGAGCTGGGTAAGTTCAAAACACCCATCTCTAGCTTACTAGTCAAGGACAAAGCGTTTTCATCAGCCAGGGACCTAGTTGTAGGAGCAGGGCAGAAAATATACACAAGCCTGGAACATCTTACAGTGCCAAAAAGTAAGGAAGTGCTCAAACAAAACCACAGTGATAGGGTAGGTCAAAGGAATGTAGGAACCAACTCAGAGCTCCCAACAGCCAAAGTCGAGACTATTTGAGCAGCAAAATACATTATTGGATTATATATAGCTCAAAGTATAAATATCCATGAGTGAATACTGATATAAAGAGATGATTAAATAAATAAATTGGAGAAAGGAGACAAATCTTTCATTCAGAAGAATTCCAAGTATTTATGCAGATAGTCCCAACTCCTTAAGTGTGGGCTATGTACAGGAGGTTCCTTCCAAAGAGTTCAGCATGGAAGGAGGGGGATACAGAATAAGTTCACAGTGAGAAACCTGGTAATCACTGCCTCAGCCAGGTAACCACGGTCAGTATCTGCAGTGAATAAGTTCACAGTGAGAGAAACCTGGTAACCGCTGCCTCAGCCAGGTAACATGGTCAGTATCTGCAGTGAATAAGTCATGCTGGTACCAAGTATCCTTGATATGATGAAAATGGCACTTCATCTCTAGGATGTTTCTCCAAAGACATAACCTTAACCTAAAACTGAGAAAAGCTAGGCAACTTAGGAACACACATCCGACCAGTACTTCTCAAACTTGTCATGGTCATCGAAAAATAAGGAAAATTTGAAAAAGTCACAGCCAAGAAGAATCTAAGGAAACATGACTACTAAATGTGACATAAGATCCCAGATGGCATCCAGGGACAGAGAAAGGACATTATGTAAAAACTAAGGAAATCTGAATAAAGTGTAGACTTCAGTTAATAATAACCTATCCTTAATTCTAAGAAATGCACCACGCTAATGTAAGATGTTAATTATAGGGGAAAATGCATGTGGAATATATGGGAAACTTTCTGTACTATCTTCGCAGTTTTTCTGTAAATTTAGAACTATTGTAAAATTAAAAGGTTATTAAAAATACAATTACATAAAAAACACTTAAGGGATTAGCCTCTTCTCTGTGGGGAAAAAAAAAAAAAAGTTATTCAAATGCCTCATTCCTGGAGTTCTGGTGTTACATTCAATTTCCTTGGAGCAAAAGTACTTGAAAAGGAAATGGGAAGTGTTGCAGGGTAGTTAATATCACAACCTATTTGGTCACCAAGCTGCAGTGTGACTTCAGAACCACATACAAATTTTGCCTCAGTGTAAACGTAGACAATGAAATCCACCATCTTCCTGAATTGTGCTGTACTGTTGAAACTGAAAGCTGGGGAAGTTATGAAAAAGTCCACCTCAACTCAAAGTTACTGGCATCAAGTCGGATCCGACTCAGCAACCCCTCCTTGGGTTCCCGAGGCGGTATCACTACAGAAGTAGATTGCCCAAGCTTCCTTCTGAGGAGTGGCTGGTGGGTAGTGGAAGTTAGAGTTCCTCCATTACGTGCCGAGGAACAGCATACAGCTAAATGCTTAGTCAGCAGCTTTCCTTGTTTGGAGGACGTCCCTTCCTTCAATAATAAATCCCTTCCTCTAGCCAGAAGTCATTCCTCCACATGTGAAAAATCACTTTTTCTTTTTTTATTTGGTTAGTTTATTAAGGGAAACTAAATACACAAACCAACAAGATGCCTGCAAATCCAAGCAGAATGAAGAAGGGTCTTCGTCGCTGTAGGGCTTAAAGAACAGGCTTGGCCTTGGAAGGAAGGGCAAAGGAATAGGTGACAGAAGAGGAAGGGGCTAGCTGGTGGCATCAGGGAGTGACAGTGATGGTACACAGTGACTGAAAGAAAGATTCTCTTGAAAAATTCCGGGTCCACCTCAGAACAGAACTGAGAAAGTGTTCCACGGAGCTTCTGCAGCCACCCCCCCAGACCATTTATTTAGTCTGCAGCGACTCTGGCACCCCGTTTACCTGTTCTGGGTCACTGTGATGGAGCTTGAAAACTGGTGATGGTTGCACATGGCTGTGAAACACTAAAAGCCACAAAACTGTACACTTTAAACAGGCGAATTGTATGGTAAGTGAATCCTATCTCAATAAAGCAGTTTTGAACAAGGAGTAGGGTTGCCTGGATGACTCCTGAGCCTACAGCATCTCAGTGAGAAGCACTGCTCTGGCCACTGTGACATGTTCCCATGGGTCCCTGTACCTCCAGACTTCAGGCATCCCCAGGGACCCCAGAGGCCCAACTCCCACACGCAGCACCTGGAGTGGTGTCTCAGCACAGAGGATGCTGCTAACAAGAGGATCTGACATTCTAACCAGTGCAGATGTCTACAGAAGCCACTAGAGCCCATAAATAGCCCTGGGATTGCCCGCTGAGCTAGGGACCTCATCCAAACAGAAGCACATCTCCTAGCCCCATTAGTCATGTCCACTGGATCAAGGTACAGGGGACACTGGACAAAGGTGGATATCTCTGCTTCTTCTGCCCCAAAGCCCTTCTGGTTTGCTGTTCCCTGGACTCAGCAGCCCCGGCCTGTTCCCAGCCATGGAAGGAAGTAGGAGCTTCACTGGTTCCTCCTCTGACCTTATCTCCTACTTCTTCTCCCTGCTCCTTCACTTGCTCTGGACACTCTGCTTGGAACACTCTTCCCCCACATATCTCTCTCCCTCCTTTCCTTCACATCTGTCCTCAAATGCTGCTTTCTCCATGAGGCGTCACCTGGCCACCTGATTTAAAATTGTAACCCCAATTTCCCTTACCCCTCTCTACTGTTTTGCCATAGCACAGATCAGACCATGCATTTTCTTTATTAAATGTACTGTCTGCCTTGTCCCACGACACTGTACACTGCACAGAAGCATGGCTTTTTGTTTACCAGTACCTAGAACAGTGTCTGGCAATAGTAGGCATGCAATAAATATTTGTCAGATGAATGAATTTCCTCTAAATAACTCTGCTTTGGCTTCCAAATGGAATGAGTGGACCATGAGCCTACAACAACAACAGCAACAACAAAAAACAGTTGCTTTTGAGCCAGTTCCCACTCATGGCAACTCCCTATGCATCAGAGTAGAACTGTGCTCCCCAGCGTTTTCAACGGTTGATTTTCCAGATCACCAACCAGGGCTTTCTGCCAAGTCTGAGTGGAATCAAACCTCCAACCTTTCAGTTAGCACTTTTTTGCACCACACAGGGACTCCCTACTATTACCAAAGACCAAACGAGTTGCCATTGAATCAATTCCAACTCATGACAACCCCAGGGACTTCTTATTCACAACACAATTTCTTCTAACCTCCAGAGCCCAGCTAGAGAGCCATGCATGGGCTCTCTTCCTGGCCCCCTTAAATAATGAGTGAGGTTACCAAATCTAATAGAACTGTCACCATTAGCCTTTTTATACCCATGCTTCCAAAGCACCAATTACCAGGCTCGAGTCAGGGGATCTGTTTTTGGTTTTTTAATTGTGATTTGGGTGAAAGGCTAGGCCTCAAAGGAGCTTTGAAGAGCTGGCTCTTCATTCTAGCATCTACTAGAAGATTCTATTTTATTTTTCAAGAGGCTTTTGCATCTTATTTTCACATGTTATCCCTACTAAAACATCATAAATTGGGCTAAACAGAAGTTCATTTTTCAAACAAAGTAACTCTATCTTCTCATCTAGTAATTACCTGTTTTCTTATCATTTTCCATCACAAGACCATAAACTCTTTGAGAGAAGGGACTAGGTGTGTCCTCATCACCACTGAGAATGAATTAGGTGCATAACATTCATTGAAATGAATAGTAAGTGTTCATTAAAAACTCATTGCTGGTAAGTCCACTCCAACTCAGTGAGACCCTATAGGACAGAGTAGAACTGCCTGGTATGATTTCCAAGGCTTTACAGCTTGGGCAGCAGCTGGTGGGTTCCGAACCACCGACCCTTCGATTGGCAGCTGAGCACTTTAACCACTGCAGGCCATGGATCCTTAAGTGCTCGTTGTTGTTGTTGTTGTTGTTATTTGCCATCGAGTCAGACCCTACTCACGACGACCCCTCCCCGAGGCAGTATCACTACGGAAGTAGATTGCCCAACCTTAGTACCTACAATTAGTGAGTATGTGACTTGCCAACTGTATGCTCCCATGGGCCACAGACAACCCAAGATTAACCAGAAAAAGTTCCTAGCACCTTTCAATGGGTACATTCTCCAGCGGCTTTAAACTCTCCCTATTCTCCCAAAGTTCTGCAAAGGACACAGGAAAGGTAAACCTAAACTGGGAATAGTGTTCCTAAGTTCCTAGCAAAATTCTAGGCGGAAAACACAAAGCCTCGGATGGGTAGAGGAAGATGGGTCTGGGAAGGTGGCCCAAGAGCTGCCTCTGTCTTCCCGGCACCGACCTAGGACTGTCTGAGCGCCCCCTATTGGTCTTATGCGGCCTTAAGCGAAGCCTTTCGCTGGCACAGGCAAGTTAGCTCTTGCCTTCTTTGAACTTGTCTCAGTTACACAGTTGGAGGCAAGGGAACGATTCAGAACCTCTGAGGGCCAGTGAAAAATAGGAAAAGAGACCCAGAAGGCAGGGGGCGAGGAGAGGTCAGGTCCAGGCTGAAGAGAATTGCGCGACAATCGAGGAGTGGAAAAGTTGAGGTGGGAAGTTTGCAACAGAAACAGAGAAAAGAACCGAGGAAAGGAACGCAAGATCGCCCCATAGGAGAAGCAAAATGCATTGAGAGAAGGGGCGCGCTCCAAGGAGGTGGGTGGGCGAAGAGAGCGGGAGAGAGGAGGTAGGAGAGCGCGGGCGGGAAGGATCTAGAGAGGCCCTGGCCCCTGCCGACCCACCTGAGGCTGCCATGCCGCGGGGGAGCAGCTCACATCCCCGGCTCGCGGCGTGCCCGGTGCCAGGTGCGGGAACCCGGCGGCGTCCCTGCGCGTGGGGCCGGAGTGGTGGCCCGGCTCCGCGCAGGACCAGCCGCCGCTCTGGCGCTTCCTCTCGCCGGGCAGCGAGGACTCGCCGCGAGGGCGTGTCCAAAGGGCCCGCCCCGCCTGCGGGGCTCGGCCCGCGGCACCTGCACCCGCAGCCGTTTGGGAAGGGAAGTGAGAGCCCCTCGCGGGCCCGGACTGCTGGCCCAGCTCCCCGCACGGCCCCGGGCTCCGCGCCATCAGTCGGCACCAGAGAGGAGCGGCTTCGCGCCACGTGCGCCCCGCTCCTTGGGAAACTAGGTAACTCTGATCAGCCACCAAAAGGCAGCGCGAAGTGGAGAGGGCGTTGGGAAAGGCGGTGGGGAAATGATTGGGCTACTCAGCCTTGGAGAGCTGGTGTGGGAGGGAGTGTGAGTGCCAGCTGGCCAAACCACCTCCCCAGCCCCTGGGGCTTTGTTCCTGGCTGCTGCCCTAGCAAGAAAGGGGAGGGGGCAGGAAGGGGAAGAGGAGGAAGGCTGCCCAGCTGCCGCTCAGATACACCGGGCCCTGGCTGCTTGACCGCTACCCTCGAGTAACCTCCAGGGACCTTCCTGCAATTCCTTGGACTTGAGTGCACATGAACGTTAATTTTAATCTGATTAATATATGATATAATTCTCATTGTTATTTATTGTGTATCTCTTTGCTGGGCCCGGTCTTAAATACCTTACGCACATTGTTGCATTGCACCTTATAGTAACTTTTTGAAGTAGTATCTACCCCTGTCTGCATGTTAGAGCTAAAGAAACAAGACCAGTATCTTGCTCAGAGTTCCACACAGTAAATCTTCTGGCCAGGTTCAATGACAGGCTTGGGTTCTGATTCCAGAGCTCAAGCTCTTGCTCAAGTGCAGTCGCCTGCCACCTGCTTGTCCTCCTGCCTTTGCCTGCTCCTCTAACTGCTCTGCACAGTGAGAGCCTTACTCACCTACACTGCTGCAACAAGGTCCTAACTAGTCTTTCTCTCTCCCCACCTGCTAGTCCGTTTTCTACACGACAGCTGATGATCTTTTAAAAGTACAAATCAGATCACGACCGTTTTCTGCAAAACAATAAGAAATCAAATGCCCACCATGCATGGTTTCCCATTGCAATAAACTCAGAATAAAACACAAATTCCAAAATATAGTCAAAAGTCCCTATATCACTGTGCCCTGGCCTCTGTCCATGACATCATCTTCTACGCTCTCCAACTCGTCCACTCTGTTCCAGCCACGGGAGACCCTCATTCTGTTTTTCAAACCTGTCCGTCTTTCTCCTGTCAGGGCCTTTGTACTTGCTGTCTCTCCTACCTAAAGCACGCTCTTCTGGTACTTTACCAGGAGAGCTCATCATGTACATCAGCTCAAATGTACTTCATCCATTCACTGGTTCAACCAACACTGAGCATCTACTCCATGTCAGGTGGAGTCCTCAACAACTTGAGTCCAAAGATGGACCCAGAAGGTAGGTATGAGGGAAAGACATGGGTTTAAATCTAGTGGAAACAAATGAAGTGCATGTAAAGATGGAAACATCAGGGATGAGGCCAAGCATTAGTTTCCTGTTGCTGCCATAACAGATCACCACAAACTTAGAGACTTAAGACAACACCTATTTATTATTTCACAGTTCCAAAGTTCAGGAGGCCAACAGGGTTCTCACTGGAATAAATAAAATTCATGTGTCAGCAGGGCTGTGTTCCTACCTGGAGACTAGAAGATAATTCCTTTCCTTGACTTTTTCAACTTTTAGAGGCCACTCACATTCCTTGGCTCATAGTCCCCTTTCCTCCATCTTCAAAGCCAACAATATAACATCTCCCCAACCCTGCTTCCTTTTGCTGCTAGAGTTTGCAGCTCTGGATTATGTTTTTTGCAGAATGAAGCCTGCCCCTCAGAAGGGCCTCTGCTCCACCCTCTTCTGGGCGGACTCTATAGTCAATCCCTCCAGCATTGGTCAGCTCATGATGGACTCTAGATAGTGTGAAGAACCTGAACTTGACTGCAGCCCTACAATCTGGTTTGCCTTGGCAAACAGGGTGTGTAAGAAAGATGGACACCTATTCCAAGGAACAGATTTCTTACATGTTCAAAAAGTTATTTCATAACGTAGGCTTGGGGACCAGAGCCTTTTGCCTGGTTATCAAGGCTTCACTTGCTAGGACAAAAGGTGGAGGTGAAAGAGCATGCCATACTGAAGGTAAATGCCACCTCCTATGGGTGCGTGTGCATGAATATTTTCTATACACACATACACACACATGCAATATTTAAATATATACAAATAACAATAATGGCAAATGTATTTAAGGTACTATACTCTCCTGTGTGTTTCACAGATATTAATTTATCTTGATTCTCTCAACTACCCATTTTACACATAAGGAAGTTATATAATTTTTGTCCAAGGGCACACAGCTAGTAAATGGCGGAACTGAATTTTGAGCCAAGACAGCCTGACTTTGGAGCCTGTGCTTCTTCCTGCTAGATTAAATGGTAAATGCTTGAAGCAGTCCCTGCTGTGATCTGAAGGGCTCCACAAGTCATCACTGGCCTGTGCTGATGTCACCTCCCACTGAGAGTGTTCAGGGCAATGGTGCAATGTCAACTATGAGCTCCACGTGCTCCATTAGGAGTACCTTATTCTCATGAAACGTGAACAGCAGGAAAAGGCCGTCCCCTGGCACTCTCCCACCATCCCCTGCTTCCTGTCCTCCTCGTCTGTGTCAGCCCCATGAAAGCAGAGCTGTGTCTCATTCAGCACAACATTTCAGTGCCTGCCAGAGTCTAGCACAAAGTAGGTGTTCAACAAACATTGTTGTTAGGTGCCATCAAGTCAATTTTTGACTCATAGCGACCCCATGTGACAGGGTAGAATTGCCCAATGGAGTGTTCTTGGCTGTAATCTTTATGGAAGGAGATGGCTAGGACTTTCCACTGTTGAACCACTGGATGGGTTCAAACTGCCAACATTTTGGTTAGCAACTGAGCTCTTAATTGTTGCACCACAAGGGTCATTACAGTAAGCATTGTTGTTGTTAGGTTCTGACTCCTAGTGACCCTGTGTACAGCAGAACGAAACACTGCCTGGTCCAGCACCATCCTCACAATTGTTGCCGTGTTTGAGCCTCTCGTCACAGCTGCTGTGTCGATCCGTCTTGTTGAGGGTCTTTCCCATTTTCACTGACCCTCTACTTTACTAAGCATGATACCCTTCTGCAGAGAATGGTCCCTTTTGACAACAAGACCAAAGTATGAGAGAATATGTCTGGCTTTTCTCGCTTCTAAGGAGCATTCCAGCTATAGTTTGTTCTCGTAGCAGTCCATGATACATTCAATATTCTTTGCCAACACCACAATTCAAATGCTTCAGGGTTGTTTTTTTTTTTTAAGATCTTCCTTGTTCATTGTCCACCTTTCACATGCATATGAGGCTATTGAAAATACCATGACTTGGGTCAGGCACACCTTAGTCTTCAAAGTAAAATCTTTGTTCTGTAACACTTTAAACAGGTGTTTTGAAGCAGATTTGCCCAGTGCAATACGTCCTTTGATTTCTTGACTGCCGCTTCCATGGATGTTGATTATGGATCCAAGAACAATTAAATCCTTGACCACTTCAATCTTTTGTCCATTTATCATGATGTTGTTTATTGGTCCAGTTGTGAGGATTTTTGCTTTCTTTATATTGAGCTGTAATCTATACTGAAGGTTGTAGCCTTTGAAATTTATCAGTAAATGCTTCATGTTTTCTTCATTTTAAGCAAGTAAGGTTATATTATCTGCATATCACAGGTTGTTAGTGAGTCTTCCTCCAAGCCTGATGCGACATTCTTCTTCATATAGTTCAACTTCTCAGATTATTTGTTCAGCATATAGATTGAATAAGTATGGTGAAAAGATACAACCCTGATGCACACCTTTGTTGATTTTAAAGCATGTAGTATCCCTTTGTTCTGTTTGAACAACTGCCTCCTGGTCTCTGTACAGGTTCCTCATGAGCACCATTAAATGTTCTGGAATTCCCATTCTTTGCAATATCTTTGCAAATCCAAATTCTTTGCAGTCCATGATTTGTTATGATCCACACAGTCAAATGCCTTTGCATAGGCAATAAAGCACAGGTAAACATCTTTCTGGTATTCTCTGCTTTCAGCCAATATCCGTCTGCCATCAGCAGTGATATCCCTCATTCCACATCCTCTTCAGATCTGGCTTGAATTTCTGGCTCTTCCCTGTCAATATACTGTTGCAACCATTTTTGGATTATCTTCAGTGAAATTTTACTCATGTGTGATATTAATGATATTGTTCTACAATTTCCACATTTTGTTAGATCACCTTTCTTTATAATGGGTGCAAATATGGATCTGGTCGGTTAGCCAGGTAACTGTCTTCTAAATTTCTTGGAAGCATTAGTTGTTTTAAAATCATCAAATCCATCTTACTCATTTTACAGACTGTTGTTATTGTTGTTGTTGTGTGCCGTCGAGTTGGTCCCGACTCATGGCGACCCCTCCTGGGGTTGCCGAGGTAGTATCACTACAGAAGTAGATTACCCAACCTTCCTTCTATGATAACAATATGGCAATCAAGTGACCTGCCCAAGGTCCTGAAACCTTCACATGAGAAGCTAGCTCTTTGCTGTGATCAGGCGATTCAGGAACATTCATCTGAACAGGGTGGAGTGTGTCAACACTGGACTATAAGGTGTATCCCAGAAGAGCAGGCAGAGTGGGGTATCATAGGTTGTGGCACAGAAAAAAAAGAGTTCCAGGGCACCTGGAGTCTGGTTTTGCCTTGGAAATACCCTGAATTTACGACTGATGCTGCCCTTTATGACTACTCAAGACAGCTTCAGCCCAACCCAATGTGGCATTAAATTAAATACCAACACAGGCAATACAGAGACATTTGTAGCTTTTCATAAACAAGTAGCTTTGCAGATAAAGCCTAGTTGTCTTGTAAAATAAAGACCTCCTTCCCTACTCACCAAAATGTCCATTCCCTATGAAGTTTCTGCCACATCCCAATATTCATTCTTCCCTGTTTTTTAGAAAAGAATCCCAATTTTATTTGGAGAGAGTAATGTGATCTGCTAAAGACTTCCTTCTCCAGACTCTCCTGCAACTTAGAGGAGGGCAAACCAAAACCAAACGCACTCCCATCGAGTTGATTCCTACTCATAGTGGCCCTCTTTGGGTTTCCAAGGCAGTAAATC